AAGTTATTTGTTTGTTTGATTATTACGATATTAACGTTAATATGAAACACAAGTTCTGTTTTGTTTTCGAGGTAGCATCGCCGGCACCCTGGCTTGCTAACTTGCTAACTGAAACATAGTTTAAACTCTATTTTAATTCGGAAACCGCTCCCAGAATATACTTTGGAAGTCGTTTATTAAAGCAGTATTAAAATTACTAAGTTGCTTCATTTAGTAAATGAAATTTAATTGTTAAAGGATACAAGGAATAGTCAAACTTGGAAAAACGAGTAACCTCTTTCAGCAAAACCAAATCGCCATATCTTGGTTTCTCGCTTAGCCTGGTTCGACTGTATAAGTTTATTGCGAAGAACAATATTAGTTTGTTTTTTAATTAAGTACCATTTTAACGTCATTCCTTTTGCCAGATGACAAAAAGTACAAGTTCAAAGTATAATATATGCTGGAAGCCGATTAGCATAAGCTCGTTTGTGCTTTTGGTGCGAAATAAATCCCGCAGGCGCTAAATCAAAAAATACTGCTATGTGACATTGCGTGGTTTTCTATGTTCATTTAAAAAATACCAGTCTTATACTGTCGTAATATGAATTAAAAATTATTATTATACTTTTCTTCTTCTTCTAGCTCTACAGCCCTTTGTGGGCCTTGGCTTGGTCCAGAATTATACTTTTAAGTAAAAATAAACAATACAACTATGTCTTTACATCGGTGTAACCCATTTCAATTAAAAGCCTTGGCTTATTTTCAAAGTAACAATATTGTAAAAACTCTACTGATGAAGATAACACTATGAAAGGAAGAGCGCGGTGAAGTTAACATTCATTATTAATTTATCACGATGTTAATCTTTTGATTTACAAAACACTGCAACCTGTTGTCGGCGAGCGGCAACCCTCCTGAATAATTTAAACGCTCACTTAATTGAATTTTAAAATTGATAACACGATTGCGTGAAAGCATTACACTTGTACTTTGTGAATGTAATAAAAAATCTTAATATCACTGGATATGATCATTGATAGTAAACTATGGGTTTCCATTATAGTTAGACTTGTTTTAATACATTTTAGGTCTCTGTTTTACAAAGAAAATGTCGTTTAAAACTGTACTTATATGTCGGTCCTTACACAGACTAAAGAATGTGTTCCTTTGATTCTGTTTTAAGTAATCTTGTAGGCAAAGTTTCATTTAATCAAGTTCTAATATTTCTTTATAAATTATATACTAAAGAAGACTCGCTCAGAAATTCGTTAAGTTAATTATAATGTTAAATTTATCCAAGTCCAGATTAACTGGTCGTTAGTTCATTATAAATTTAAATGGTAGCTAGTTTATTCGTTTAAGGGCTCCAACAAAGTCAAGAATGCTGTTCAACTATTTAAAGTGTAAATATTTAAAGCATTACATCAAGAGCTTGGAGCGAATTAATTCAAAGTCAAGAGGAGCGTGTAATGCCTTGCTCTCAGCTATCTGTGTGTTATTTTTAAATTAACATTTGGCGATATTTTGCTTCAGAATGTCTGAAATTTGATGTTGTTTTAAACAAAATTTTAACCACCATTTAACGTAGATAACACAAGAATAAAACCTAAATACAGTAACTAAGAGAATATATTTTCTCAAATTAAATTAATTTATGTTTTTAATACAGTGAGCTAACTTTGGATTTATTTATTGACACGCTGTCGCCCGCTTCTCCTTTTGCACGGAATTAATAAAAAAAATAAGTAATCTACGCGTTCATCTAGAATCTAGATTATGTTCTATATCTATGCCAAATTTTAGCGAGATCCGGGGATACCTTTAAAAGAATATTCATACATCCAAACATTCGCATTTATAATATTAGTAAGATAGCACGCGTGACGTCATATTGATGGATATTAAAATTTCTTCGGCTAATTGCAATAGTTTTCATTTCATGAAACATTTAAAGTTCATCATGTTTTTATGACAGCATATTGAATATGTGAATTTTGCCGTCTGCATCTAATGGCTCAAATTTCTAACTTCAAATGAAAATTTTAACATAAATCTCACCCGACATTTGGGAATTGGAATGAAGTGCGAATGACTTTCTAGTTTGTAAGGTACTTCAACTCTTGGACTATAATACTGTCTGTGGAAATTACTGTATAGAGAGCTATAACTCTCAAAGACTTGACAAAGAATAATGGTAAAACTAATTTTCTAATTATTAACTTCAAGACTTTCGTTAAGTTACTTCTGGCATAAATTTTGATAAAATGGACACTCGTCCCCCTGATTAGTGCATTTAAATTTTATTACGATTATGTATCCTGCTTATATACCACAACAACGTTGGGTAAATGTACAAAAATCGAAAATTGAAAAACACATTGGTACAGTCAGCTACATAAATATGTGTACATTTTAATGCAACTTTTAGAAGCTTTGTATATATTTACGCAGCTGACTGTACATTGCGGGGATCGAACTCGGATCTGTGGATTACACGTCATGTGCTTAACCACTACACCGGCGCTGGCCTTTAGTAAGTAGATATTACCATAAGAATTTAATTTGAGGCAGAATAGAGTTTAGTGCCGGCCATCATTACGTGCTGAATGACGTCATATGGCCGACTATACAATGTTACAAGTCACATAAACAAGGATCACGTTTAATGCCAATAAACTAGAGGTTTCATGTGATCTTAACATTTTATGTTTATAGAACTTTGTGAATTTTGAAAATTAATCAGCTTTTATAAAATCTGACTCGAAGGACCAATTAAAAAAAATAGTATTGATGAACAAATTACTTAATATTATAAATGAGAAAGTAACTATATCTGTCTCGCTTTCGCGCCAAAATAACTGAAACGATTTAAATGAAATTTGGTACACATATACGAGTAGTTTAGAGGCTAAAAAGGTCATGGGTTACTTTTTGGTGCGAAACAAGATTTATAATATTGAATAAAGCTCAATAACGTAAAGTGAACAATGATCAAATAAAAGACAATAAATTATTTTTTAATTTTAAGTCTGCTATAAATATCGTAGAGACAGACTATTCAAAAGTTGGTATTAAAAGTTGCAGCCATCCAATACAGAGCAATATATTCAGTGTGTAATGTACTGTGCGAGAAAGTTGCGCCATATTAAGAACATTGATGGCTCGTTCTGAATAGAAAATTGAATATTATATGAAAAATGCATTTTATGACTTCTTAATGCTATAATATTTAACTTAAAATGGAGTCTTAAGTTAGACGTCGAAGTTGTCAGAAAAAGTGGCTCTAGTCATTTTGACATACGACTTTCTGCAATTGACTTTGAGAAGTTATTAATTCAAATATTCTGCAAAGGTATTCGGACTGTTAAAATATTTGTCCATCTCTTATTTCTCTTTGAAAAAAAACAGAGACAATTATAGTGTTTTAATACAAGTGTTACTCGTAAATAAGCTTACTGCTTCGATTGATGATCACTTAAACATTCACTTAGTGTGGATTTCAAACAAAACCTATTCTATAGTATTTAATGACTGAATTAGAGACTCCGAGTCTCTAACCCAGAGAGAGAATATAGCAGATATATTATACTATTGTAAATTGCAGAGAAACTTTAAGTGAAAGATTCTGAGAGACCCTTAGATAAAGATTCTGAGTTAGATACTCTGACTGAAAGAACTAGATTATATCGCAATAAAATTCTTATTAGTAATGGCCATTAGTAAAATATAAGAGATAAAAAAGATGAAAAATCTTGTCTTCGACGTGGCTAACTGTAGGCTAGTGTGAATTCCGAGGAAGCAACGAGGGACTTAGGATGTGTAAATTGTTGTGTTATCGTAAATTTACTTAACCTTCAAAGATTGCAATTATTTTTTTATCTTGAATACATAATCTGCTTTAAATGTAAACATGGCGACATTGTAACAAGTTTTGAATTTCACTTTTATAAACAGTTTAAATAAATTAATTAAATATTTACTAAGAGATTTCATATTTTATACATGAAATTCGTCATTCAAAGATTTCATATAAGTTTAAATTTAAATTTATTGTCTCAGAATTTTCACGTACGTATGTACAGACATTATAATATTGCTTATAATTAATTATGGGAACGAATTCTTAATGATAAATGAAAACTTAACTTTAACCATCGAGCCCATATTTAACATCTATTGCAAGAATTGATCGGTGCCGAGTGCAACACCACGAAAAGAAAGACAGGCGTCGAGTGGTAGCAATTCCGTTTTTTGCCTGGTGTGATAAAAAAACTTTCTCTCATGAGTATGCGTCATAATGTTAAAACTAGAGTCTTATAAGATTAAGATACATAGGCTTATGTTTAAATAAAAGACTAAAGTACATAATACGATGCGACAATTAAATATAATCTGATTACACGAAATAATGCTACTCATCAAATTATCTTAATCCAGAAATAAACAACAAAAAGTGATGAACTCCGAGGTTCGAATTTCGAAAATTCCCCTAAATTTTTTCATTCAAATAAAAACAAAAGACAATAGATTATCAAAGTTAATTTTCTTTTTTAAAAACAATAAAATATTTTACTAAAGCTTCATAGCAAGCAAGAAAGATCATAGAAAAAATATAGAGAACTAACTACCACCCGCGACTCCCTTCAAATTAACCTTCAAACAAACATCCATCCATCCAAACAATCGTATTTATAATATCAGTAAGATGTCTTTGCAACTAAGATATTTCCAAAATTGTATTCATACATTACTGGTGGATTATTGGTGGATTCATACATGGTAAAGATTGCAACACACCACCAAAAGAGATGAACAGAGATGTCCCAAAAGCTATGGTGTTGATATATAATATTAACTGATTGTATTTTGACAATAGTACATTTTCGCAATATCTAATTTAAGCCTAATAATCAGTGTTTACTTCCTATCTAGTTGGGAATAATTTTTATTTGTATTATGTTCTACGTAGTTATCTTATCTAGCGTAACGTCTCATAAACATCGTTAGCTTCCAGTAGTGCATCAGTGAAACTGCCATTTAAGAGTTAGCAATATGCTTTTCATATTTTCATTCAATTTCAAATATAAAGGTTTATCTTCAACAGGTAGATATTTTGTAACTAAGTGCATCCAATTTTTCTTGTAGTGATGATAATTTAAAAGGTAATTCATTGCAGAATAATGTTCAAATTCGAACAAGGCGATAAAACAAGTTTAAATCGCACTGTTAACGTGAATGAGGTAGCAGCATTAGTCCCAGGAGTATATCGTCCAATAAGCAGTAAGTTTTCTTTTGAATATACTAGCTGTCACCCGTGACGTCATATGCGCAAAATTAAAAAAAAATAGTAATAATATATATAAGCCAGATATCAGCAAATTCCCTTCGACAAACATCCAGCCATCTAAACATTCACATTTATAACATTTTTTTTTGTTTTAAAATATTAGCAGATTTTTTTGTAAATTTACTAATATTTCTTGTAACATTCCAACTAAGCTCTAGGCTTGTGCTAGGATATGGTTTACGACAATAGTCGAATGGCGGGATTCGAACCCACGACCTCGTGATCGGAAATCCGTAGCCTTAACCATTAGGCTATTGACGCTATTACATTAGTAAGATTTATTTTGAGATATTGTAATATAATCTGTATTAATAATTGCAGGATCCCTCAGTTATTGTCAGAAAAATCAACGTCAAGAAAGAGCTGTTCTCAAAACTGGAGAAATCAATGTCTACCGCAAGCAAGATTCAAACTTTTTCTCAAACTGTTTCCTTATCCTTGTCGAAGCAAGATGGAGATGGACTTTATTTTCATTCTTCTTAGCTTTCACCACGAATTGGTTACTGTTCGGTGCCATTTATTGGTGCATTTCTTACACTCACGGAGACTTTCTAGAAGCTCACCTGCCACAGAACGTGAACAGTACAGAATTTACGCCGTGCATTGAAAATATTTATGGTTTCACATCGACATTTCTATTCAGTGTAGAAATTCACACAACTGTTGCGTACGGCCGGAGAGCCATCACATTAGAGTGTCCGCAGACAATCACCGCAATGTGCTTACAATGCATCGTTAGCAGCGCATTCCAGTCAGTTATGATCGGTATACTGTTTGCTAAATTGACGAGACCTCGAGCTAGGACAAGGACGATACTATTCAGCAAATACTCAGTTATAACATTACGAGATGGACAACTTTGTCTTATATTTAGAGTCGGTGATATAAGAAAATCTAGGATAATTAATATTAAGCCAACTGCATACCTTTTAAAGTGGGATTCGGAGTTTGACAATCTGTTGAACGAGGAGCAGATAGAATTGAAAGTTGAAACTGTGGAGTGTGAGTCAGTGTTCTTTTTGTGGCCTGTGCATGTTGTTCATATGATAAATGAAGAAAGTCCATTTTACAATATGTCTGCAGCTGATTTACTTTGCTGTAAAATAGAAATATTAGCCGTGTTTGAAGGTATTATAGAATCAACAGGGCAATCGATACAAGCGAGAGCAAGTTATACGGAAACTGATATTTTATGGGGTCATAATTTTGTACCGATGATAACTTTTAATGACGATAAATGTAAATATAATGTCGATTTTTCTAAAATATCTGTTGTGGAACAAATGGAAACTCCGTTGTGTTCAGCGAATGAATATAATTCTCTAGTGGCCGCAATCTCGTCAACGTTTAGCGTTGCTTCTAACAGCTGATATTATAAGAAATGGATTAGTAATAAAATAGTGTAATTATTTTTTGTTTATTAACGTATAAGTATCAATAAGTTTTGACTTTAATTTTAGTTTGTTTTCTCTTTAAAAATTATAGTTCTCTTTCAGTTAAATGCATTATTAAGTCCAGCCCATTTAATTATACGTTGGTTTTTACTAAAATGTTTGTATATCCAAAAAGAAAAATTAAATCAGTATTAAGTTTAAAAAGTATATTATAATATAATGAAGTTATTATATTTTTTTGTTGAATGTAAATTAAAAATGTCATACAATTTTCTAATATTCATTAGGGAGACATTTAACGGGTCACGCTACACAAATATTATGGCCCCGATGTTTGAACACTTAAGTTCCAGTTTGCGTGGTAACACTGAAGTCGTGTTTGTTTTGTTTATCGTTGAATCTTTTCAATATTCACAAGTTTTCATTGGGTTACATTATAATTAGTGGTTTTTTAAAGGCAATATAATTCAATCAAGTAAAAATAAGGAATAAAGTATGATTGTGAAATATTACAAAACTAGCTCTCGTTCGCACGGAACTAAAGACTTAGTAGCCTATCTGTTATTCCAGACTATGCTTTACATCTATGCCAAATTTGTACGAGATATTTTGTAATAAACATCCATCCATCCATCTCAATACCACCACTATTATAAATGTAAATATTTAGATTATATGGATGGATGGATGTTTGTTAGAAGATATCTCCAGATCTACTGAACGGATCTCGATGAAATTTGGCATACATGTAGAACATAGTCTGTACAAACACATAGGCTACTAATTAAGTTTTTTTCCGCGCGGACAGAATCGGGCGACAGCTAGTGTTAGTGAGAAGTAAGATATACGTATGTGTAACTAATACATTTTGTCTAATTTATAGAATAAGTAGGTTAAAGGTTTAAACTATTCTAAGTGTTATAACAAAAGTGACTATTTTCTTTGTAACTTTAGTCCGTACATTTAAGATTTATAAGATGATTTATGTAACTTTAATGCGCTCACTTGTTTGAGAAAAGTTACCTTTGAAGTTTAAAACTGAGCGCATTCTAAGCTTCTGTTGGATGCATTTGTTATATAACTGAATAAAGACCAGTTATGTACACTTAAATACATAACTGATATATTTTTCTAATTGAAATCAAACAACTCTAGTTCAATATACAGATATTTCTTGAAAAAGGTTTTAATAATTTGAAATCGAATTTAATTATCATTGCAAAAAAAAAATTAAAAAAAACTGTTTGGTCTACGTCTAATAATATGCTGGAGATAAATATTTTAGAGGATTCGGTTAAGTATGTTAAAAAAGTTATTCCTCATTCGCAAAATTACTTAAGAGCTGGTAACTTAAAATAAACAGGATATAACTTAGCCACGCTGAAAGTAGAATAGGTAAAACTTTGTATGTCTAACATCCTGAAACAATGTATTAAAGTTCAGACATAACCGGAAGGCTGCAGGGCTAACTCTACCGGAAGTTGTTAAACAGCGGATGCACTTAAGTCGTGCAACTTGCCTCGCCACTGTCACTCGTCATTTACTAGCGGTCGCCCGCGACTCCGTCCGCACCGAATTAAAGCTAACAGCGAGCGAGTTCCGGCAGTTCTGGAGATACCTTTTAATAAAAATCCATCAAAACATTCGCATTTACAATTTTTAAGGATTACAGTTTTGTTTATTTATGTCAAATTTCGATATTAAATTTCAAGATTTGTTTTTTAACAGAAATTTTGTATAAAATATTTTTTGTTTTTTTTCGTTCTTGCATTTTATGCTCCATAAGTTAATTATAAAACTAAATGAAGACATTTTAACTTACTAATTACTTACAAACAAATACTGTTGAGAAAACAATACATATTAGTAAATATAATGTATTCGCACAGAAGTAACTTATTTGATGCGTTTTGGCGACATTCCAACACCGGACTCTACACTTTAAAATACTAGTATACTACAGTTTTCATTTATTTCTTCATATGTCAGTGAAATTAAACCTATAATAATAACATTTAAAATGTTACCAGTGGGTCTCAAAGTTAGTAGACTCTCGTTTATAAAAAGGAAAACTGGTTTGATAATAAATAAATAAAAATATAATACTATTATAGCTAACTTTTAATAAAAAAAAAACCCCTTTAAGTAGCTTATGTGTTCTTTCAGATAGTGTTCTGCATCTACACTAAATTTCACTTAAATCTATGGAGCTACTCTGAAGATACCTTATAACAAACATCCATCCATTTATACATTCACATTTATAATATTAGTAAGGTTTTACTATGGAAGAGTTGCGTACAAAATATCATGAAATAAATTCTAATTCAAAATCGCATAAACGTATTTAGTTGCATATGAATGAACTAGATGGCGCTAATAGTAATCTAAAACACGCTACTGAAATCTTATGCTAGTAACTCTGTCACATATCTTATCTTGCTAATATTATAAATGTGAATGTTTAGATGGATGGATGGATGGATGTTTGAATGTATTTCCGAAAAGGCTACATAGATCTAACTGAAATTTGAACATAGTCTAGAAGAAATGGGCAACTTATTAAGTTTGTTTTAATTCCGCGCGGACGGAGTCGCGGGCTTAATACTAAAAGTGAGCAATATTTCTTGACATAATCATTCGTATTATTGCAAACTATTTCTCGAAGTGAGAACAGAAACATTAGACGCCATTACTTTCAGTTATCATCACAAAACACATGAAGCTTCTTATATAGTCTCATATATTTAACGGCTGAGTTGGTTCAGTTCGCGTCTATATATCAGTGGGACCGCAGAGCGAGCCGGACATTATTTATGGCTTATGCAGCGCGAGGGGATCGGCCCACATCACAAACATTACAAAAATGTTTTTAAATTCAAACTATATTAATATAATAATTATTTTAATTGCTACATTTGTCTGCTGCAATTTATTTATAGCACGTCCATTAAAGAGACCAATACATGTATGTATACTAGCTGTCGCCCGCGACTCCGTCCGCGCGGGCTTAATAGTTTTTTTTGTAACAGAAGGGGGCAAACAAGCAGCGGGAACACAGAGGTGTTGGACGACACCCAAGGACATCAGCAATACCAGAGGAACCGCAGATTAATAGTAGTTGCCGATTATCATAGCTGCTGAATATGCATATAAAAATTTTATAAAGACAAGCTTTTTCCGAGAAAATGTTAACTTACATTGAGTATTTTGTTTACAAATTTAGAAACATAAATTTTAACTGAGATTTTACTAATAATTACCATAGTAACAAATAGATGGCGCTTTACTATAAATTTTACCAATAAAACCCATGAAAGAAACAAAAAAACTCTAAAAAAAATTAAATAATATCTGAGAATATTTATCTTAAAGAACATAGCAGTACTAACTAGAGAATTAAAACTAGGTTTAATTAAATTAAGGTTTTTAAGGAAGTTTTGGATCAAGGAAACGTATCGCATACAAGCTTCTTTGTTAGGTTTAATAGTAACTTAAACAAATTCTTTGTTAAACGATAACATAACAATCTCGTAAAACCTTTCTCTATACAAAAGTTTTCTTGTTAATGTACTCGTAACTTTATATCAAAAGGTTTTTACAAACTTCTTGCAATAAACTGAAGAATCCAAGTTTATAGACAAATAAGTTGATATAAATACGAAACCAAAGTTTTTTTTTATATCAAAAGGTGGCAAACGAGCGAGCGGCCACCTGAAATCGCTGAAATAGCAAAGTGACCGTTGCCCATAGACATACGCAATTGCATATGCGTTGCCTACCTTTAATCGACGGAGGAGAGGATGCATAGAAAGAAAATATTTCCATGCATCCTCTCATCCAGAAAGTCCACTTCCACTTCCCATCCTTTCCTTATAAAGAAAAGGATGGGAAGGGAAAGAGGACTAAATTAGGCCTCCGGGACGACAGACAGAGTTAGACAGTCTCTTCCTATTATCTTATTATGTAATGAAACTCGTTAAAGGCGTAACCAAACGTATAACATAATAATAATAATACAGAAAAATATTAATAACCAATGTCTAGCTTAAATTTTAAATTTTGCAATTCTTTACACTTCTCACTAACATTCATCATCATCAGCTCACTATACGTCTCCACCGAGGAGCTCGGAGCCTACCCTAAGTTAGGGGTGATTAGGTCATAGTCAACCACGCTGGCCAAGTGCTGGTTGGTTGACTTCACACATATCTTTGAATTTCTTCTCAGACATGTGCAGTTGCATCACGATGTTTTCCTTCACCGTAGGAACGTCGGATAGATATATGTACATATGTATTATATATTAATACATGGGGGTTTCGAACCCAGGACCTGCAGATTGCAAGTCAAGTGCTTGACCACTGAGCTGGCGACGCTCCTTACTAACATTATAAATGCGAATCTTTTGATGGATGGATGGATGGATGTTTGTTAGATGGTATGTCCAAAACGACTGCATTTAGGAAAAATGTTGAACATAACCTGGAAGAACACATACTACTTATTTTATTTTTATTCCCGTGCGGACGGAGTTGCGGGCGATAGCTAGTTTAAATATTTTACAGCAAATGCAAAGACATCAAATTCAAAATGAAGTATAATTAATCACACATTGTTTTATCGAAAGATTCATAGTATTTGAGCGACAAAGTTTTCGAGCTTAAAGCTTAGACACAATGAAGTTCTGACGAAGTTGTGAAGATAAAGCTTCTTCAATTAATTGCAAAAACTTTCGTCATGATTATGTGATGTTCCTCGCAGACACCAAATTAATTTTCATAAAACGTTTTCCCCTCGCTCTTACATAATGTATGGTAAGTTCATAGTGTTATATGCATTTTAGTTTTCTTTTCATTTATTCGTATAAGGTTAAGCAACAATTATTCCTGGTATTCATTTTAAGAGATACGGAAGATCAATGAATGAGAGAACAACTCTTAAGAGTGATAGAACGCCAGCAACAATCCGACAGTCCGATGAAATGCCACAACGCGTGGTTGTTGGAGGCGTAATTTTATATTTCTTCCTCTTCCCACCCTGTCTTATAAAGAACGGATAAGAAGGTCGTGTATTTGGCGGAACAGATAATACATATGTAGGGAAAATGTCACGTTTT